TGAAAAGCAAATAATGATGTTGTGCCCTTCTTCGTCGCAGTGCTCACGCCAAGTGGAAGAATCCATTTTTACCAGCATCTTGGCGGTGGTGCCAACACATATGACTTGGGACGACGGCTCCCCTGTTTCTTCGTCTCCTGAAAAGCAAACAATGTCGTTGTGCCCTTCTTCGTTGTAGTGTTCACGCCACGAGCAAGAATCCATCTTTACCAGCGTCTTGGCCAATTTAACTGCAAATCGATGCTTCCTTTTTGTTTTCCCAATTTCCTTAATAAAATTCCATCCTGAAAAAAAAAAAAAATTCTAATTAGAAATTCATAGTAAATTATTTTAACTAATTAATCAAATTATTTTTGTTAACACAATGATTGGTCACTTCTCCCTCCTTTTTTCACAAACCAAATAAGTAATTAAGAAAAATAAGGAAATTATTAGGGTGCGTACTTTCAGCTAGATGCAGCCAAAATCATCGAACTTGGGTGGACCTGCATTAAGCAAAATTTTGCAATTTCAATTATAGTTGCAACTCACTTGACTAGAAGCATAAATGCTCGAAATTGATACATACGTATATTCTTTATCATTGTTGGACAGCGTATGCTACTCTTACTGCTCTGACTTGGTACATCCTGTTCAATTTCATCTCTATAGACTAAGTCGTCGGGAATATCTGAAAACAAAAAACGCCAAAACGCCAAATCGAGTCAGTGGTACTAGAATTAATGTGTTTTTTTTGCCAGTATGATTGTAGTTTGCAATGAACTTACATCTATATATAATCTCCAATCCATACATTATGGAAGAAGAACTTTTGAAAGCAGTCGGCATGCTAGCGACAATGTGAAGACATGTCTTCCCAGAACATTTCTTTGTCGCCAGCTCTGAATCTTTTTTTAGTAACGAAATAGCTGTCTTTGCATTTAATAGACAATTCTCATGCATTTCTCAAATGAAAAGAAAAAATGTGTTTTGTAGTTGAAATTGCCTGAACTATTAAACTACAATCTCTTGCTCAATGGGGTCCCTTGGGTTTCAGGACTCAAACCCAGCTAATTGTAGTTCGGATTGCAAATCACCAATCTCTTTCCTAAGTCAGTGATTTAATTTAAAATTAAATCAAATGAGCAGTACGTACCGAATTTTTCATTCATGATAGCAATATGAAGAATGGAGAGGCCATCAGATGTTCTTGTGAAGTGATCATCTTTCAGATTTCCATTTTGACGTTCCACCTCCTCTACTAAGTACTCCACTGTTGCTTTATCGCCAAATGCCGCAGCCCTGTATAGCGCCGTCTCCCCTAAATTATTGCGGTCCATCAGCATACTCGCTCGTTCTTCATGTGCAATCTTCTTAAACAAGAATTGTACTGCCTCAAGTTTGTTGCTCGTGACCACCTCGTGGAGAAGGGTGTTACCATGACTGTTCTTCTTCGTGAACACCTCACATTCTCTATCAATTGCAACCTCCAAGAGATCTCCAAGCAGATCTTTGCTTCCCATGTGTGCTGCAATGTGGAAAACAGTATCTCCGCAAGGAGTGAGGGGATAGAATAAAGTACAATGTTCGGTCTGATACAGTGTTTTAATGTTTTTCCCGTCATTTTCCAAGGCCTTTACATAAGGCTCCCTCATTTCCCTCATTTCCTCAACACGTTCATCTATAGCCACAGCTACTTCCGTTGTCATCTCTCCTCTTCTTTTTTCAATCTGCTAATTTGATAAATAGTTTTTTCTTAAGCTGCTTTAATTTGATGTCGATTCCTGGTTTTATGGTCTGCAACAGCTTGAAAGAGTAGTGAAAAATAATAGCATCTCAACTTTGCTAAACTAATTAATAAAGTTAAAAGTTTAAAAGTTTAAAAACAAGATTATGGTAAGGAAAAAGGAAGGAATAACAAAGTTACTAGTTCTGCTAATTGCTAGAGGAAAGAAATACTTCCGTCGCTAAATCTAAATCCAAGCCAATAAGAAGAAGAGACGTTAGAAACGTTTGAATTTCATGTTGAAGAGCCATGCTAAGATGTCATTTGAGATTTGCTGATACCTCAACATAAGTTGCAGAAGTTTTAAATTTTTTTTTTTTCTAATGAGATATCCCTATAATACAATAAAATTTCCCTCCAAAGTAAGAACAAAACTTAGTTCAATCAATCTATAGAATTAATTTTTAGTTGTTTTAGTTAAAGATTCATGCTGAAGTGTCATTTGAACTGTAATGACACCTCAACATGAGATGTAGAAGTTTTTAGAGTGAAGTAGTCAACAATGCAATATATCTAATTAATTGGTCACCCTCAATTCCTTTGAACTTTGACATCCTGGAGAAAATCTAGAAGGGATGAGATGTTGGATACTCATTTACGTGTTTGGGTGCAAAGCATTTATGTATGTGCCAAAGGAATAGAGATCAAAGTTGGATGATAAAGTCATTTCATGTATTTTTGTTGAATATAGTGACGAGGAGTTTAGCTACAAATTATGGGACTATGAATAGATAAAGATTGTTAGAAGTAGAGATGTTGTGTTTCATAAACATGAGAAAATCTGGGATTAGAAGGAGGAAAAAGCCACTAGAAGCACTTGAGAGGGTGCGGCCAATCTAAAACCAACAAACACTTCTTTAAGAGGTATATATATAAAGTAGTTGAGCAAGGACCAAAAGAAGATAGGCAAAACCATAAGTTAAGCCCCTAGACTTTAATTAATGCATATAAGCCCTTCTTCTTATGCCAACTTAACTGCCGTTTGGGAATCGCTCGCGTGGCTTAACTGCCGTTTAGGACACTCGCTTGGCAGCTTGGATGGCAAAATATTGCCATGTCATGCTTATATGAAAGGGATTTGACATTTGAGCGGGATTTTTGATTTATATGATCATTTAATTTTTTGACTTAAATAAAATCTAAATAAAATAAAATTATATATTTGGGTAGAAATATTATTTAAATAAA